GCGGGTTTTGTGACGTACCTGATCGTTAGGATTTCGCCTAACATGATCATTCGCGAGAGTGGTACTTGTGCGATTGTTGAAAGGGTTGAGAAGAGACATCCCCTTCAATGGCCTTCCATCCAGTAAGTTCTGGCGGAAGTTTGAAAAGCGGCACCCGGAACTGACACTACGGAAGACAGATCCCCTAAGCCTAGCAAGGTCGAAGTATGCCACTCCGGGTGCTGTAAAAAAAAAAGGTTCTCCCAACTATATACACAGCAACTGGAAAAGCTTGGTCTGCAGGACAGACCTGCTTATATACTCAATGTGGATGAATCCTCAATGAATCTAGATCCACAAAATGAGAAGGTGTACGCTGCAAAAGAAGCGAAGAAAGTCAGCTCACAATCATCGGGCTACGCCCAGCATGTAACGTTAGTTGCTGGTGGCAATGCTATAGGAGGGGCCGTTCCCTCAATAGTTATATTCGAGGGTGCACAGCTTCGCCAGAGCCTTCTCCCCAGCCATGGGTGTGGCTACCCCGGAGCCACATACACATGTGCTAAAAATAGATACATGAATAAAAAGCTATTCAAAAAGTACATTTCGAAATATCTCATCCCTAATGTCCCTGGCATTGGCAAGACCCTAGTCCTGGTCATTCTCGACCAACACACGCACGTACGGTCGCACATCTTATCACTTCATCAGCACTAATACTGACCTGTTGTCATATATGTTTACCTCAATATGCACCATTCTTCTGAGATTTGATACTATTATTCAGAGGATCCTATTAACTGATTTTAGAAATGTTCTTTCCCCCAACAGGCCAGAAGACTCTGGAGAGCAATCTGACATGCTTGCTACCATTGTCAAGTTGGAAGCCAATATGACTGCTGAGAGACTGTAAGTACTAAGGGAACTTTACGTTACTTCATTCTAACCTAGATTTTCAGTTATGATGATTTCTAGGAATGAAGAATCCATTGCTATTTACAGACGGAAGTATTATGGAATATTGGAATATAACCAAATTAATTTCTGGTTAAGATGATTTTTTTCTTCAGCCTGACTGAAAATCTGAAGGAGCAGATAGAGGGCTACAAGAAGGACAAGGTGTGTGCGCAGACTAGCCTGGCTCAACTGTGTGCGGAACTAGAGTGATCTCTCTGTTCAACTAGATGGCATGAGACTGTGAGTGCATATAATTAGTTCTGTATGAGTGAGTCAGTGAGTGCAATAAGCTTACTGTAACACAACAAAGAAGTACTTTAATTTACTGGATAGTTTTTATGGAATCTCAGTGGAGATTACTGTAACAGAAGGTACAAAAAAGAGGTCCTTACTGAACAGTTTACTGAATAGTTAACTGTAACATAAAACAGAGAGATTACTTCATACCTAATGTGTTAAAAAAAGTAAACTAAACTTTGATTCTCTATAGGGAAAACAGTTAAGAACTTCCTTCTGTACCTTGTGTTACAGTGAGCTCCGCTTGGAGCAAACCCGCAGGCAGGAAATGGAGGAAATGTTAAGAGAAGCAGGAGTTGGCATGTCACGAGCAAGTAGCAACACATGTTATGCAATTTATGTTTAAGAGTTTATCTGCACCATATTCGTTTCCTGTTGCGTACTTCCNTGAATAGTTAACTGTAACATAAAACAGAGAGATTACTCCAATACCTAATGTGTTAAAAAGTAAACTAAACTTTGATTCTCTATAGGGAAAACAGTTAAGAACTTCCTTCTGTACCTTGTGTTACAGTGAGCTCCGCTTGGAGCAAACCCGCAGGCAGGAAATGGAGGAAATGTTAAGAGAAGCAGGAGTTGGCATGTCACGAGCAAGTAGCAACACATGTTATGCAGTTTATGTTTAAGAGTTTATCTGCACCATTTTCGTTTCCTGTTGCGTACTTCCTAACAAAAGGTTTCACAGGATGTTCTGGACAGGATTTTGGTTTTCACATTCTACTTTCTTTATGTTTATGGTGCTTCACCTAATCGCACTTTTATTAGAATGAACACTGGCGATACCGGTCATATGTGTAATAATCCTTTCAGTTCAGGTCCTCTTTTTTTCACGTCTGATCCACCACACCTAAAGAAGAAGCTGAGGAGCAATCTATACAGCAGTAGACATGAGAATTATCACACTAGATGTTTACGGTATGATGGAAAAGACATGATTTGGAAGCAAATACAGTCAGTTTTCGACAGAGATAGAAAACGGCTACTTGCTTTGACTAGGTTAACGAAACAACATGACTATTTACACAACTGGGCCAAGATGCGAGTGAACCTGTCTGTACATACATTGTCCTCAGCTGTTCAACGGGAAATGCATGAACATGAGAATAATGCAACAATGGTGTGTCACCTGTATATTTCTAAATGCTATAACCTCTGGACAGTCTGTAATAGTGATGACTCAAGAATGTGAGAGTTCAAACATGTACAGTGGTGTTTTTATTTGTCCTAGAAAAGAACACTTGAAGCTCAGTTTTATTCCAAATCAGAAGTTGCAAAACACTTTATTTCCTGGCAAACATTTGAGGACCTGAATCTGACTATTGTCACTTATTCAAGTTTGATTTCTTACATATCTTTTCCTCAGTTCCAGGCTATTTATCCTGATGTTTATGTTGTTCCAAAGAGGTTGAATCAAGATTGTGTTGAAAATTTATTTTGCTTAGAGAGGGCTGCTAGAGGGGAAAATACAAATACGACTGCCTTTATGTTTGGTTACAGTGTACAAGTGTACAGTGTGCAAGTATCATTTCCACCAGTACATGTAAGGCAGACCTAAAGTCTTATACTCCAGGTCCTGTCAATCTGGAGGAAATGGCCTGTGCTACTTTGCCGAAACGTCGAAAGACTGACAGTGACAATGATGCTGTCTTATTGCCATTAAGCTACCAGAAAAAAGGCAAAGGGAAAAAAAGGGCTGCTCTGAGATGTGCTAGCCTACAGATCAAGAAACACAATGGGCAAAAATGTTACAAACTTCCTTACCACAAGGAAAAGCTTAAAAAAAGGCAAGGAAGGTGCATGAGCCAGTACTTTGAATCACGTCAAAAGGCTAGTGAAATAGTGAAGTCAAGAAAACTGCTGGGGAAAACTGGGCTAAGGAAGCCAAAACAACACTCGCCTCACTGGAGCCGCCTTCCTGTTCAGCAAGAAGAGTTGTTAACTCATGTAAGGTCACTTCCAGCTGGTAGTAAGGTAATTATTAAACAGTTCCTGTAGTATCGGTTCCTTAAAACGAGTAGATGGTTTCAGTTAGATAAAAACATACAATGACAAGACGTGCACGTGGTGACGACACAAGTTACACTCATATATCGCCACCAGACAATACGTAATACAAGCAACCAAAGCACGATAATACAATAATTAGACAATGAACAACTGGAACTAATATATAATTACTGACAGGATTGAATGTTACAAAAACGATTTGATTCTAACAGAAATTCTGTGCAATCATGCAGTAGTATTTGATTATTGTACACTGTTGAAAGAAAAGAAGAACCTCTTAAAAGTACCAAAATATCATATGAAAAGTCATCCATGTCAGTAATAAAACCGATCAGTGTTTTCAATAATTTTTTCAAAGTTTACAAATTTGACGTTTTCATTGGAAGATGCTTAAGTATTGGTCCTACGGGAATAAGCAATTAGTCCCAGATGCCCCAATAATGCATCTATTAGTTCCTGTATAGTAGTAAGAGTTGCACCTTTTTTTAGATGGATGAGTCAATATCACATTGTCACGGAAAGTGAGAGAAGTTTGAGGCAGGTGGCGGCTAGGATGTTGGAGAAACAGGAAGTGGTGGGAAAGATGATTCCCCTGGTTGTGAAGGGGAAGAGAGAAGGAAGAAATGAGATTAAAACTCAGGTAAGTTAAGGCCTGTGATTCCAAGGTGGTGGCGGTAAAATACGTATACGCTTGTAACTTTTGTTTGGTTAGCCGTATTTTAAAGAAATTTTACACAGTACTATCACTACTTATGTTTAATAAAATGATTGTGCATCTCTGTTGGTATGCTGTATTTTTTGGGTTAAAAACCCACATTTTTGTTAATAAAATATATCTTTATTTTAAGAGCCACGTCCTCGGTGGAGTTTTCATTCTGGACCTTCATATTTCACCGTATTACAGCCAAACTAATATAGATTCAATTTATCCGTCGCTATTTTGCAGTCTATGAAGGCATCATAATTTATTTGGGTCAAAAATAGCAAAAAATGATAATTTTTCCTATTTTTTGGCCAAAAAACGCTGTAGAGAAAATTCCTGTATGATTAAACAAAATAGCGATGGATAATTTTCTTTAACAAGCGATTAGATATTAAAAGTAACTGATATTCTTGACAAATCTGCTGTCATGACAGAGGACGAAGCCCCTACATGTGACTACACGCAGTACTTTAGAACCGCCGACAGCGCCCTCCGCCGGCTTCCGCGAAATCGAATACCCGATTACGTCAGGGATCTCCCCTGCAAGCGCCATTGACCAATCAGGGTGCGTTACCCCTAGTTACAAAATGGCGGAGCCGGCAAGACCTTTTCGGAAAATTTCGTATTTGGCTCCTTTTCAATCTTTTTCCTGTAGTATTTCATTCAGACAATCATTAATAACAACATATTTGGATAGTTCATGGTTTGCTTAGGTGTATTCATGTAAAAAAAGACAGAGAAATAAAGTTTTTGTAGCAAAATATTGCATTTATTCACTCAATTGGACGAGAGGGGTTTCCCGCGGTTTGATTAGTTACGTCACCTGCAGCCATGTTTCGTTCAGTTTATACGTGTGGATTTGGTCGTGTTGTTTTAAATCAAGTTTTCTGTGATAAGAGTCTTAAATCGTGCATANGCGGCGTGGCTATTTACACTCCCGGAGTGTATATAAAAGACAAATAGATTTTATATACACTCCGAAATACTAGCCTCCTTGGTAGGCCCAAAACCTGGGTTTTTGTGAGTGTTTGAGGATTCAGGGGCACCAAGTTTAAACCTCGGTGTTCAAGTTTATCTTAGTGGATGATGAAAATCAGAAAACAACACGGAAATCCCCACCGAAGTTCGAAAACACAGGGTTTTGACCTACGACCAGAATGTCAGCCAATCAGCACTCGACAGGGATTTCCCGCTATTTTTCGTCTCCCGCTGGCCTGGTCTCTCGCGCCAACATGGCTGCCGCGCCGTCCCTACTGAAGTTAGGGGACGAATTTCTCACTTGGGCAGAGTTTAAGGCAGCACTGGACAACTATCAAGAAACAACACATGCTGAGCTCAGTAAGATCAGTAGCAAGAAGGTGGAAACTGAGAACAGGAAATTACCTGAAGGCGTCCAAAAGTTTCCGTGTGCTCATGTTTATAAAGCGGTGAAGTTTGGATGTATTCATTACGGGAAGCCGCGCCTGTCAGGGTCGGGAATCCGGCCAAATCAGTCGTGAGTATACATCGATTTTTTTCTCATTGTAGCTCAGGAATTTCCCTTGGCTAGTTAAGTCACTCTTGAAGCCGTACTAGCCACAATCCTTGGCCAGACCGAGACGAAAGATCTACTCTACTCTACTCTACTCTGTGGTGCATGTAGTGGGGAGGGGGGCAAATTTATGACTATTCAGTACTGGCGGGAAATTATGTGCAGGGCTCTCCCCAAGCAAATATTATGAAACATGTTGTATGTTGTATTCAAACATTACCCTGACAGGTTGACAACTAATGACGCACAATCTACGCGTACATCAACACAGATTGTTTGAAACTGACTTTACTGAATGCAAAAACTCAAGCTGACATACCAGCAATATCGGTTGTAGACCCGAACCTTCCAGTTCTTAGCCACTTACCAATACGTGTCGATGTTAATCCATGTCCAGATTAAGTTGTGCTCAAACAAGTTGCATGTCCAAGTAAGGTGACCATTTTACCATGTTTCATTTGAGTGGCATAGGATGTCAGTTAAGATATTTCACCTTTCATATTTATTTTGCAGGCAATTCTGTATGGCCTCCACAAGATCAAGGGAATCAGCATGGAGGCAGCTCAGCAACTGATGGATAAGGGACCAGAGCGATCCCCTGAAGAGACGTGGTACAGGGACTAGAAAGAGGAGGAGAAGAACCATCCACCGGACATTTTAGCTAGTTTTTAAAAATTTTAATTTTTATATTCCACAATCCCAGAGCCGTGGTCTTTATTCTTTTGTCACATGTTACATGATGATATTTACAATATATACAGTATGTTTATTTCAATCTATCAGGTAAAGAAGACTCCCCCCATTTTCTTTTTGCTTTTCCGTATGATATATTTTGCTCTATTTTTAAGCTGGACATAAAATCATTTAAGAAAACAGAGAATGGATCAATTATTTTGTAGAAGCTTTTTTCCTTATATAGACACCAGGTTTTAAATATTGCATACTGTGCTATACCAATCATATGATTACCTGCATTTGTTTGTTGTAAGTTCCTTGGAAGTCCATATATTAATGTTTCAATATTGATATCTTTTATGATAATTATGATGTTCAGTATTTTTTCAGTATTATGATGTTCAGTATTTTTCCAAAAATTTTTAAGTCTTTTTACATTTGAAAGAACATATGGTTTTTCGTCCTCTATTTCCAAACAGATGTTACATAGAGGTGACTGTATTAATTTCCATTTCTCGGGTTCTAACATATTTCTGCCTATCGCTTTGTGCCAACTACAGATAACATGTTTGTAGTACAAAGGTATGTGTTCCATGTTAGGACAATCCCGTTTGTCTTTAAATTGCATATTTAGAATAAGGAAATCTTTTCCAAAACTGTTAAGAAACAGACGTGGAAGTATCTTCCAGTCCCCCTCTGAGTTATCCATTAACCGCCTGATAACACTAGCATGTAAGGCATCAATTTGCGATGGAATATGAGTCATCTTTAGACCTGTATTACAATCTTCGACCTGATGTCCAAAATTTATAAGCATTTTAGCTAGTTAGTTAGTTACA